CAAATGCTTCTTACTATCATTTTTTGTTAAATATCAAAATTCTCCATCTTCTTATCTGTAATMAGGTTGATGAAGTAACAGGTCCAAGAGAGAAACCCAGACATCCACCCATCCAGTGACACTTTCCAGCTCGTTCTGGCGGACCAGAGAAGTTCCCAGGCCTGAAAGGATACATAATCCCTGCAGTGAGTTCTGGGTCTTCTTCGAGGTTACCAGTGCCTGGRACACCTCTAAAGGCATCCAGGAGGCATCCTAWTCAGATGAATCACCTCAACTGRCTCCTTTTGATGCAGAGGAGCAGTGACTCTATTCCAAACTCCSCCCGGATGATGGAGCTTCTTTTATCTCTAAGGCCAAACCTGCYCACCCTACAAAGGAAGCTCWTTTTGGTCACTTGTATCTAGGATTTTGTTCTTTTGGTCATGATCYACACCTCATGACCATAGGTGAGGGTTGGAACATAGACAGACCAGTAAATCGAGAGTTTTGCCTTTCGACTCAGCTTTTTCTTCACTATAACCAACTGAAGCAACGCCCTCATTAGGATGAGGCCCCAATCCATTGATCCATCTCCTGCTCCATCCTACCATCACTCATGAACAAGACACCCAGATACTTAAACTCCTCTGCTGTAGGCAGAGACTCCCCTCCATTCAGAGGGGACATTCCCCCTAAATTAATAAATTAACCATTAAATTGTAGCGATTTTTGCCCTTTTTTCACTGTTTGTGCTGTAGAACTTGTGGTTTTCTGTCTGTAGAACTATAGTTGACCTGATATTCATGTTTGTTCATCAAAATAAACAAATAAAATGYATACAATTATAAAAATAYGTCTCACTYCCTGCCAGTACTTTGGGACTGAAGCAATTCTGCAACATAAAAAYGTTGTACATTGTAAAAACCGAAAMGTTTAGCTTACCATCACGCAGAACWAGACAAATGCCCAAAGAGAAGAATATTTACATCCAATATAAATAAAAACCCTTCATGCTTTTTATTTTTGCAAAACGGCTTCAAGCAATTTCATCATAGCGATCCACGAGACATGCAGACAGTATGTCTCTGAAGGAGACTAACACTGAGATGGACAAAAAGTCCAGATGACATACAAACATCTAAATGACATCGCCCTGATCAGTGAGTCTTCAGCTCTTTGTGTGTTTAGGTTTTGGTGGTGTTTTGTCTGTGAGGCATGAGAAGTTTATGTGCACGCAGTCTGAACTTCTGATCCCTCACGCTGTAAATAATGACATTCCAGCAACTGTTCGTAGCCAAAATCCAGAAGGCAAAGAAGGAGAAGTTGCACCATTCGTTCCCCAAAACATTCCCAACCACAAAGACGGCGATGGGGGTGAACGACGCCGTGAAGGCCACGGTTAGGGTCCCAATGGTCTTGGCTGCTTTAATGTCCGAGAAAGTTGGATTACTTGTGGTATGGATTTCAGTTTCTGCCAGTGTTTTTCTGTGTTTTGAGTGCTGCCTGATGCTGGACAGAGAAATGATGTTAATGACAACAGTGCCCCCGAGCAGCGTAAAGTCAAATGCAGGGAAAAGGAGGAGAATGTTCCAGGCCTGGCTGGGGAACTCTCCAATGGTCCCCAAGGCATAGTTACACATCCTGCTGCAGGAGTTATACTCGAGAGCGATCTCACTGCTGAAAACCAGCGGACACACGGCCAAGAGGAAGCTGCCCACCCAGGAGAGGAAAATGAGGATTGTCGTCCTTTTACGAGTAATAACCGAGTCCTTGTGCAGCGGCCTGAGCACCGCAATGCTCCGCTCAATCGTCAACAGGAAGATGGTGGTGATGGAGACCAAGGTGCACCCGGCGAAAATCGGACCGATGATGTTGCACGGGTGAAACCTCACCGACTGTGAGTTGTACGAAGTCCACTCGGGTGCTGATTCCGCCACCATGAGGTAGACCTCGACGTAGATGGACAGCGGCACCACAAATATCCCCACAGCCAGATCGGCAACAGCCAGGGATGCCTTCAGGTAGCCCTGCGGTGTGTGGAAGTGTTTGTTGCCCACCATCACAGCCAGAGTCACCAGATTCCCAATTAAGGTGGCGAACGTCAGCAACACCATGAAGAGCACCATCAGGATTTTATTGACCAGAGTGCAGCAGCACACTGTGCACTGCGCCGGTTCAGTTCTGTCCAACATACTCAGCGTGCTGGTCTCAATCATTGGGAAAAAGGTTTCTGAACGTTCACATCATGACCTGAAATWAAGAGAAACAGAAAGCAAATCAAATAAAACCCRAAGTTTTGACAATGAATATCAATATCAATGTTAATGTCAGCCTATTGTTACCAATGTCATAACATTAACTTGGCGTTTTTGCAGATGGGACTTCAATGGTTCAAATTTTACCTTTCATATCCCACAAAACTGCATTACTGTCATTTAAAAATAGAAAAATAAATTARTGAGTACTTCTTTCCATCTGACTTGAACCCCTAGTTGACTTAAAYGTGTCAAAAATGCAACAAGCTGTGTCTTATACAGCTTAGTTTATTACATGTGTGATGCGAGTCAAAAAGCTTAAGAGTTTGTAGTCTTACATAGTTCAACCTGTTCCAGGAATATTAGTCATATACAGTTTTATTCATGTTTGGACAAAACAAAGTGTTTTCACTATTTATGTGCAAGCCTACATCCCACTCATCACCCTGCACCTTCAAGTATATCTTCACTTGAGTTTCTTACTCACTCTGACATGTTATTTTCAGATTCAGATATGTGGACAATGCAGCATTGATTGTATCTTTTCTTTCCTCCATCTGCAGCCTTTGCGTTTTTTTAAGTTCTCCTGCTGTCTCCGTAATTCATCACTCATTCCCACGCCAGGACCACCTGTCCACATCACCTCACGTCCCCCTTCATCAGCCGCCTCTCAAATCAAACCCTTCTGTCGTTAAAACTTTCTCCTTCATTATCAGAGACACCAAGTGGCGCGATGGTGAGAGAGAAGCTTTATCTCAAGATTCATCTCCGCCTCTCTAAATACACTTTAAATTTTGCAYYGAACAACAATAAAACAAATGAAAATCAACAACAAACAAAAACAATAACATGAAAAAAAAACGTCTGCAAAACCGACAATGAAAGATTCGCCAACACAAGGAGCTATAGTTTTCAAAAAATAATTCAGAATAAAACTAAATTTTTAATATAAAATATTTAAAATATGTACAAAAATGCAAATGTGTTTTTTAGTTAATATTATTTGTTACACTTAAATGTTGAATTCTTAGAAAACGAATCATGTTGCGACAGAGCAGAATGACACTGAGTTGAAGGGATGATGCTGATGCTGCTGCAAACAAAATTGCTTTGACATCAGGTGGCACGCGAGATCCGCTTTGCGCGCGCACGTGATGAGAGGGGCTCGGGCAGCCCGGTGGTGATGGATGGATGGATGGATGGATGGATGGATGGATGGATGGATGGATGGATGGATGAATGGATGGAATTTGAGCTCGAGGCAGGATGACGCAATAATCTGGTAAACAGCTGTAGTAGTAAACAAAACCCAACATTCTTTAATCCTGCAGGATCTGAACTTCATACGTTTTTTTTTCTTTTTGTTTTAATTAGTCCACATAATTTAGCTTTTAAAAGTCACAACTAAAAAGATTTGTAACAAGTTTTACGTGAAGAGGAATACTTSTAGATTTTGTGTTTAAACTCATCCACCAAAGTCCTTATATGGTCACTGTTTCCATTGCGCGCGCACAGACCGCAAGTTTAATAATTAATCAAATACCGTAAGTGAAGCAGAGACTAATAAATAATCAAATAAAAATACAAACTTTAGATCCTGACGGCACACGSTGCAGCGTTCAAAAATATCCCAAAGACCCGGGCTACTCTTGTCATTTCTTATCCTGCCTGACTTTCAGCTGTCACATCCTCCAGCTTTGTGTCTGCACTGCAAATCCAGCGCGCAGTCATGCGGAAAGCCCCTCAAACCCACCCATTAACTAAGGGAAATCCCTTATAATAAGAAGCTGCAGCAGCGCGCACGGATAGGTCCGACTTTTTGTGTCATTCTCCAGGAAATATTCACTTCATGGCACTTCTGCCTTTTTAAGTCTCTACTCACTTTCAGTTTTAAAATTCTTCTCGGGATGCCAGAAGAACGTGCAGAGCGTCAGGGTTGAAAATCCATAGCGCTGTCTTTATAAAAGAGGTCCACAAAACAGGAGTGAAGACGTGCAGGATCCAGAGTCAGGGCTGCTGCAGATGTGGAAAGAAGAGCTGCGCTCTGATCCTCTGCGCTCCGGAGTGAGCGCTGAACTCTCCTCAAATGCTTTTCAGCCATTGGCTGAGAGCTGAGGATGCTGCTGATGACAGAGGAGCCCACCGCCCCCAGAATGACGCCTGCTGCACACCAGGATAGGGGTGTCTGCAACAGAAGGGGGG